ATATATATATATATATATATATATATATATATATATACATATATATGTGTACATATGTACACGTACTGTATACTGTATATTTTTTGTCATTTACAATTGATATAAAATGTGTAATTTTTTTTTTTTTACTCCTAATGTTTTTGTTTAGAAATATTTTTAAGGCATAAACTAATGGTTCCTGTATTTTTTACATTGCATGATAAGTTAAATTTATATTTTAAATAGATGATAGATAGATGGATAGATGTCCATGATCCAAGTTATAGATTCATATAGGTCCTAAACAGAAGTGACCCTAGAGCGAACCCCTGAGGAATCCCACATTCACTTTCCTTCAACCTAGATGTGTAATTCATTAAAATGAGCTTTCAAAGTTTTTTTTCTAAATTTATTCATTTTTTATTTTTTTCTTCTGAGACCATTTCTTTGTATTAATTCATTAATGGAAAAAATATTTGATAGGTTAGGTGATGAATTTATAACTGCAGCCTTAGATTAATGAGCATTTTTTAACTAAATTATAGGCGTTATTAAAAACACTCTTAAACTTGATGTTCTCTGCAGATTTGATCATCTTCACTTCAGTGTGTTGCTTGAAAGTAACTGTGTGTTTGGCTTATGCAAGTCCATGGTTACCTTAATGGCATCTTCTCCCCTGCAGGTGGTAGCTCTGAACAAGCGCAGTAAGGAGGCAGAGTCTGCGTTCCTGGGAATCTACAAACAGCTTATTGAGGCCCCAGGTGAGTCTCCCACTAAGACCAGAGAAGTGCATCTTCACAAACAACACCACCACACTCGCCGGCATTACTTCTAGAATTACCTTCTCTGCCTTTGAAGATCAATCTCTAAAGATCAATTCGCTGTCAAACGCTGCGTCTGTGTGAGGACCAGCTCTGCAGAGACGTTTCATACCAACGAGCGCTCGCCTAAACCAAAAAGTAATTTTCTCACCATGGATACGGCGAGTATGGTGCAGCAGCTCGTGGATATAAGATACATAAAACCCCCATACCCTGTGGCTCTTATCTATTTTTCAAAGTCTATGCTCTGAGTGGTTTCCAAAACTCTGCGTGAGGCCACTTCAAAACCCAGCGCTGGTCCTCAAGTGCAGCCTGACTGGGGAGCGAAGGCATTTTGAAGGAGCTTCGCTGTTGATTGTGGAGGACCAATTAAAACCCAACTGTAGTCTGGGTCTGTGTTGAACCTGATGAGGCCGAAGGGGGTAAGAGGCAGAACATGAGGGTGAAGGAAAGGCGGATTCTGTGTTTATTCTGCTGTTTTGTTTTTTTTCTTTCCTGCAGTGCCAGGGAACATGTTGCTCCGTGTTGCAGGAGACGGCAGCGGTACGCAGCCCAATCTCAGTCTAGATCAGAGGAACACTTGTGGCAGGAGTAGAGAATGCTGTTTACAGATTCAATGAATACAAGATAAAAGCCCGCGTCAGAGAAATAGCGACGGCGGCAACTGACTTTTAAAGGTCTCCATTTTTCCTTGAAGTCCCCCGCTTGATATTGCGCCATACGGCCGCCCACACACACACACACACACACACTCTCACACAAGAAATGACTTTAAATGGAGTTATTTCCTTGATAAGAAAAAAAAATGTGTCCCTTTAAAGATGTATTCAGTTTAATTAATCTAACCTGTAGCTTTTACCTTCTGACCTTAATTCCAGTTTCAGAGCATTTTTATGAAACATCATTTCTAAAAACAAGCTTTACATGTTTTTGGTTTTTTTAAAGAAGCCGAGGCCGCTGACATCTCATGACCGGTTTTACCAAAAATAATAATAATTCTTAGTTGTCTTTGTTTGCTTGAAATAAAAGCATTTATCCAGTGTTTTCCCCTAAGCGTATTGTTGAGGTGAAGGACGAAAAACATCAGGTTCCTTGGTCCTTCAGGTGATGCTGCCCATCTCCCTCTGACCTTGCCTTTGCATTAGAAGAAGCTCTTTTTTCTCGTTTATTAGTTTGTTTTATGCATGGATGCTTGACAAATACCAGTACAGC